TAAAAAAAAAAAAATAAATAAAAAATGAAAAGTTAAGCATTTTTACACACACAAAAAAAAGTTTTTTTTTAATTGTTTGGGTTTGGGGGTGGGGGGGGGGGTTACGACATTATACAAATATACCCTACCTTTTTTAAAAAAAATATTTAGAACAGGCAATTTTGGGGGGAGAGGGTGCACATGTCCACCCCCCTCCCCAAACCACGTCTCCGATCCATCTTATATGACTTAACTTTCAAACATAAGTTCTAAAACTGACTTCCTTTAACTTTAGGTGTCAGACATCTTGTTAATCTCATGCCACCACTCTGTGATGGGAAACTTCCTAAATGGAATGGGCCTGTCATCACCTGTCAACTTAATATCTTTACAATCATAAGTGTGTCTGTCTCTGTATTTCTGCCGTCGAATGCTCTTCAGCCGAAACAATTTTCTACAGTCCTGCCTCATTTTACTCTAACCATTGTATATTTCATCTTGCTTCAAACTGAATACAATCCTCTCCGTAGTTCTCTTGTTACTAACCGGAAGTGTAAATTGATTGTTAGCAATATTATAAAACTAATTTCCTTCGCCTTTTAAAAAAAAAATATATATATATTTTTTAGTTCCGAAAAATTTGTGAAGGGCTGCTTTGCCCAGCGACAAAATCAATTACACCCACTGTAAGCTCTAACGCAGGCCTGCACAAAAAACAGCCAGCGGGTCGCATGTGGCCCGCCAGCAACCCCTTTGTGGCCCGCGAGGTAACGAAAAACTCTTTATTCTTATTATTTTCTTAATAGCTCCCCCCTGACCTATATTCTTTTGGCCCGCGCAAGTCCTGTCCTAAAATCTTTTGGCCCGCGTAAGTCATGTCCTAAAATCTCTTGGCCCGCTTAAGTCCTGTCCTAAAATCTTTTGGCCCGCGTAAGTCCTGTCCTAAAATCTTTTGGCCCGCAAAAGTTTTTCATATGGTATTACGTCCCATCTTATATTTGGAGTTGTGCAGGGCTGCCTAACTGAAGCCAACACAATTCTAGGGGAAGTCGAAAATGTAAAAAATCCTATCTTGAAATCTGTGACTCAAACAATTTTTTTAAAGCTTACAATTTCTCTCCCGACTTGTATTTAATCAAATTTAAGCGAACACATATGTAGGAAAGTTGCTGAAACAAAGTAATTCAGAAATGGAAAGGCAGGTCAACGTTCCAACTCGAGGTTGCCATTGGAAAAAAATAACGCAAAAAATTTCCCGATGCTTCACTTTTTCAGATCATTCCAACACATTTTTCTTCCTTTATGTTCTTGACCAATTCCACATTATCCCCATTGGCGTAGTGCCGTTGCAGCAGATATAACATGCGCTGTTGTTTTTTGTTTTTTTAAAAAGCAGATGGGTAAGTTAAATGCTCAAGTGGATAAAGGTTATTTTTAATGATTCTTGTGCAGACTTTCTTTCTACTCCCATTTCCATCGGGTTTGTCGTCACTGTTGTTTGTCGACTCACGACACACTATCGCTTGGTTGATCGTCTCGCTGCATCTGAGTTGTGTCGACATCGCGTCAGCTTCGTTTAGGTAGCAGCTGCAGGAGCTGTTTTATTTTAGGGAATTAAAAAAACATTTTTTTTTTTTAAATTTATAATACTGTTGTTTTTTTTTGTCGACGTTGTAAAGATTAAAATTTTAGTACTAAAAAAATGCAAATAAAAAAATATACAAAAATATAATGTATTCTTAGAAAAATTTGTATATTTTTTTCTTTTTTTTTTTTTTTACTTCGTTTAAACTCGTCTTTGATAGATTGTCTCAAATTAAAAAATACAAAAAAAAAACAATATAATATAAGTAAGCAGGCTGCTTCGTTTTTCCCAAATATAAAAATAGGACCTAATCCATAACAGAGTGTAACAGCATGACGCTCAACACATGACCAAGTCAGATAACTGTTTTAACATTTAGAATTGCCGATAACTTATGGTGGTGTAGATGTTATCCTGGATGCTAAAGGGCAGCGGTCCTCACTTTGGGGCCCATGCTGCCGCCGGTAAGCCTTTTTTATGTATCTGTGTGATTAAATTGGATTACGTTCGACAAACTTTGAGGTGAATTTTTTGTCAACCGCTCCGTGACATGGCAGGTTATGTCTTGGCGGGAATGTGCACTATTGCATAATTCAGGTGACGCAAGTGCTCGGTACGCTAAGTTGAATATAAAAGCATTTAATTGTGACTTCCATTTTTGACAGTGGGTTATTCGGTTCATTCGAATAAATGATTACGCAAAGGCATTGAATTATGTCATTTGAAGCGACGATAGGTCATTCAGTCGGTTAAACGTCATTTAAATTGACTATAGGTACCGTAATTAAAATTAATACTATAAGTCGTTCTAAAATTATTGTAAATCATTTGAAATTTAAGCGTTCCATTTATTAGACTGCTTGATTTAACATTTGAATTTCTGAACGCATTACACTTTCTCGCCGTCTATGAATTTCGTTAATCAAAACATTCAGTTAATACAAATACACCCATTTACGTTTTCAAGAAATGTGGTAAAAATAAAATACCACGGTAAAATTTAAAAAAAAAACACGATGTAACAACACACAATGGGTTAAAATACCATTGAAATCATAATTTAGTCTAAGGGGTATTTTTTCAGAAGTGAATACAATGTATCAATGTATGCATATAT